AGACATGAATCTCGATGAAGCTTACAGAAGCGAGACATGTCATATGCCAACAGTGTTTATTGATCGCCTACCACCGTACAGCACGCCAACAACGATAGCGGCCAGGGTACTTACATTACTTCTACTAGATCCGACTTGACGAACGAAGAATGTGGTCAAAGATCGTACCGGTTCTGATGTTGAAAATGCAGATTTAAGCGGGTGCGCTGGCGGGTGGGCGGGCGAGCAGAAGAAACGCAAGGGAAAACCTGCCTGTGATCGCTTTCAACCGTGCAAACTTTTATCGATCATTATTCCCAGACCTAGTGCCTTACCTGAGACCCCTACACCAGTGCCACAAATATTCGACGCTGGAATAACATCAAACACTGCTCAGTCGTCTACAATAACACGAACAAAAACCCCTCGGGCATTGTCCAGACTACTTCCGCACAACCAGCCAGGTTTAAAGGAACTCATCCCTCCCCAAAGGCCACTATCCACACACGAGGGGGGGAAGGAGATGTAGAATAACAATACAATAAACAGCACTTACCGGCATAAGGGTCCCAGCTAGCGCCCAGCTGGCAGACAAAAATAAAGCAGGTTGTAACTCAATACAAACACTGCAAACTAACTGATGAATCAAGCTGGTATTTAAACAGAAATACTTCCACTCATGTACCAGCAGCGAATCACATCCCAAGCAATGGACTATCCCACTTTAGCACAATGAGATGCTCAATGGCACCATAAATAGCTCTCTTAAGGTTGAGTTATTATTCACTCAGCTTGCTCCACAACTGAGTGTTTATCTTGCCCACGCGATTGTTCTACAATTATTAAACGGATGTCACTGATTTAATAATTTCTAAAACTGTTTAGCAATTTGGAAAATAGTAACTGGTATGTGAGAATGACTGGATTCAGTCTGAAAAAATACATATCCGTAAGAGTTTACACTCATGAGCAGAAAGTTATTTAGTTGGTATGGAAAAGCAGGATTGAGAACTATAGGAAGAGAGACGGGCTTTAGAATTGAACTTAAAACAGCGAAATATTGGGTAAAAAAAAAAAATTCTCCTGTTATGGTTTCGTTTGGTTTATTTTGTTTTACGGCATATCAACACCTCAGTGGGTTATTTAATATCAACAAGATTTTTAGGATAGGTTCGGATGAATAGAGTATGTATTCTTTGTAAGAAATCAGTTTGTAGATCACATTTCATTGCTGCATTTGTGCAAAGAGGTTTTTTTGTCGATAGTCAAATCTATTGCTTTATTTTTTTTTTTTTCAAAAATGTATTGCTGGTATTTTTACTAAAAAAATTATTTTTATGCTTTCATACTGTTTTGACCCTAGTTTGGGGGGTTAACAATTATTAAGAGGTGGTTCCACACTCCTCAAAAACTCCTGAAAAGAAGCCTTGCTGCCAAATGTATATTTATCGTCATACCCATGATGTGACATGAAATGGAAATATATTGAATAAATTACCAAGTCTGCTACTGAAATAGTGAGTCACTGTGTCGTGCAAGACATTTTTTCTCCATATATGGTGCGGTGTTCCTGTTATATATTCAGAGATTCTTTATAAAAGCCAAAAAGAATCTACAATATTATTGGTCCTGAGCTGGCATTCAGGTTTTAATCATTTCCCCACCGACGTAATGTAGCTTTCCTGTGCCTTCTCTCTCTACACACACACACATATATATATATATATATATATATATATGAAGAAATATAGTCCAAAAATTGTGCTATATTTATGGGATAAAGTGCTCAATATCAGGCATTAAGCGTGAAGTATTACATTATATATATATATATATATATATATATATATATATATAATAAAAATTAAAAAATATAATACACTTTTTATGAAAGTATTTATTTATTTGTATATATATTTGATATTTTGTTTGTCCTCAATCTTTCTTCAGAAATAACTGTTTCTTTCTGAAGAAAGATTGAGGGCAATCTGAAATAAATATATATATATATACAAATAAATAAATACTTTAAAAGAATAAAAAAACATTATTATTTTTTTAATTTGTAACTTTTTTATATATATATATATATATATATATATATATATGTTAAGAAAGTATACGTGACTTCTCATTATGCTATATATATATATATATACACAGAATCTTTCATGGTAATTATTCGGCTGAACTTTGCTCTGTTGTACCTAGACGTTATGTATTTAAGCGCAGTACTGAACTGACAACAAGGTTTCATCAGTTGCTAGTTTTTATTGTTATATTCACGAGGTTTCGGTCGTTGTACACTCCGGCCTTCTTCTGGTGATTGGAATTTCGAACTGAACCCTTTATTTCGTCCACCGGGGTAGATTGTTTTAGCTCCACGTGCCATGTCTCTTCCTCAAGGACACATGGCCAAGTGGATAAAAGCGTTGGTTGGATCCAGTGATTTGACCCAAAGAGTTGTGAGTTCAACACCCGGCTGCTGCAGTGGGGAACAAGAACTTGAAGAGTAGAATTAAGGGGAGATAACTGCGCCAACCGAAAGAGAATGAAGAATGCGAAAAAAAGACAAATATTACTAAACTTGCTTGAAACAGAAGAAAAACCACGAAGGAACACGGAACGTAGATGAAAATGTAAAAGCAAAGTAATTTTTACCGGCACTAAATAATAATAATAATAATATAATGGAAATTGTATTTTTTGTTGTCGGAAGTCCTGTTTGTATTCGGACGTTATCTTGAAAGTAGCCGCCACAGTGTAGCCAAATCTTTAGAGGCCATTACTCTAGGGTTCTAAATATATCAATATAGACACTGATTTTCATTCGGCGTCATCTTAAACTGATTAAGGAAAGCCGAAATGCTCATAGTGATTTGCTAAGCATAGCTTAGATCTGGCACAAGGCCGAAAGAAGATCAAAGTCACGAAATGCTTATGTGCGTCGACAGTGTTCACTTAGTTGATGTTTTGCAATAATAAAAACAAAAAAGAAATGCCTTATAGTATGGGGGTGGCTAGGGACGTGTCCTTGGTGCCAATAGGGTCAGCAGCCAGAAAAAGTAACCATTGATCGAACAAGAAATATGAAATAAAGAATTTTAGCGGGTTACAGCTTGGAGAAGCAAAAAGCAGGATTTCTTCAACAGCAAAAATTTTAAAAAAATTATATATCATGGCCGACAAACACCAGAATTACATATTTATTACTTATTTCCTTTAAGCAAAGTGTATACAAGCAGAACCTTTAACTGATTCGGGTCGATATATCGACCAACGACTACACATCTTTCTAAATCAATTGCTCGTTGCAACACAATTAATACCAGTTCCTATTGTGACGTTAAACAATTCTGCATCTCCCACTTAGTGTGGTTTATAAATTTTTTTTTAAACTCTTATCTTTAATCTCTTATTTTTTTGCGAAAAAAAAAAAAAAAATTTATCAAAGGACAAGATCGATACAGAATGGCAGTTCTTGTGATCTCTTATTTCGTCTATCAAATCAATCTGCTACAACACACCTCCCCACCCATCCCTCGACCTGCTTTTTCCATCTGCTATTTTATTATTCCAAGTGATTTTAGAATTAAAAAAAAAAAAAAAAAAAAAAAAAATCTCTATATCCAAGTTTATTAATTACATCGGTTCATTGATCGACTCAGATTTGAAGAACAGTACGGCACCAAAGAAGATAAAGAAGGAAGAGGGTACGGCTCCAGATAAGAAGAAGAAGAAGAAGAAGAATTTCTCTTTTACGGCACCAAATAAGAAGAAGAAGAAGAATGTTTTAAATACCAAATAAGAAGAAGAAGAAGAAGAAGAAGCGTACGGCACCAAATAAGAAGAAGAAGAAGCGTACGGCACCAAATAATAAGAAGAAGAAGCGTACGGCACCAGATAAGAATAAGAAGAAGAAAAAGAAGAAGAAGCGTACGGCACCAGATAAGAAGAAGAAGAAGAAGAAGAAGCGTATGGCACCAGATAAGAATAAGAAGAAGAAAAAGAAGCGTACGGTACCAGATAAGAAGAAGAAGCGTACGACACCAGATAAGAATAAGAAGAAAAAGAAGAAAAAGAAGAAGCGTATAGCACCAGATAAGAAGAAGAAAAAGAAGCGTACAGCACCAGATAAGAAGAAGAAGCGTACGACACCAGATAAGAAGAAGAAGAAGAAGAAGCGTACGGCACCAGATAAGAAGAAGAAGAAAAAAAGGAAGCGTACGGCACCAAATAAGAAGAAGAAGAAGAAAAGGAAGCGTACGGCACCAGATAAGAAGAAGAAGAAGAAAAAGGAGCGTACGACACCAAATAAGAAGAAGAAGAAGAAGAAGAAAAAGAAGGTTACGGCACCAGATAAGAAGAAGAAGCGTACGACAGCAGGTAAGAAGAAGAAGCGTACGACACCGAAGAAGAAGAAGAAGAAGAAGAAGCGTACGACACCAGATAAGAAGAAGAAAAAGAAGAAGAAGAAGCGTACAGCACCAGATAAGAAGAAGAAGAAGAAGAAGAAGAAGTGTACGGCACCAAAAAAAAAAAAAAAAAAAAAGGAGAAGAAGAGTACGGCACCAGAGAAAAAAGGAGGAGGAGGGGGGTACGACACACAAAAAAAAAAAAGAATACGGAACCATAGAAAAAGAAGAAGGATTCGGCAACCGAGAATACAAGTGCATGTCCAATATAATAAATTAGGAGTTATTTTCTGAGGGAAACGCATTTGGTGTAAGTGCTTAATAAATACATATAGGACATGTCATTGTTGTAATTATCCACATATATATTTCGCAACGTGCATTAGCATACACAGTTGAAATTGACTATTATGTTAAAAAAATTAAATTTTAAAAATATGTAATTAAAAAAAAAATTAAGTTTAAAATTATTAGTAACAGAAAAAAAGAGTAAAAATGAACATCATAGTGAAAGAGAAATTTCTAGGAAAGGAAAGATATTTTTGTGAAAGCAGAATTAAGTGAGAAAATAGTTTTATAAATTTTAAAAAAAAGAAGACTTTTGTTTTAATTGTGGGGGAAAAGGAAAAAGTGAAAGAAGAAAAATAAAAGGAGGAGGAAAGACAAAGAAAAACAAAGAAAGACAAAGAAATGACGAAAAAGAAAAAAAAGAAGACAAAGACGAAAAAGAAAAAAAAGAAGACAAAGACGAAAAAGAAAAAAAAGAAGACGACAAAAAAAGAACACAAAGACGACAAAGAAAAAAAAGAAAAAAGACAAAGACGACAAAGAAAAAAAGAAAGACAAAGACGACAAAGAAAAAAAAGAAGACAAAGACGACAAAGAAAAAAAGAAGACAAAGACGACAAAGAAAAAAGAAGACAAAGAAAATAGAACAAAAAGAAAAAAAAGAAACAAAAAGACACAGAGAAAAAAGACGACAAAGACGAAAAAGAAAAAAAAGAAGACAAAGACGAAAAAGAAAAAAAAGAAGACAAAGACGAAAAAGAAAAAAAAGAAGACAAAGACGAAAAAGAAAAAAAAGAAGACAAAGACGAAAAAGAAAAAAAAGAAGACAAAGACGAAAAAAGAAAAAAAGAAGACAAAGACGAAAAAGAAAAAAAAGAAGACAAAGACGAAAAAGAAGACAAAGACGAAAAAGAAAAAAAAGAAGACAAAGACGAAAAAGAAAAAAAAAGACGACAAAAAAAGACAAAGACGAAAAAGAAAAAAGAAGACAAAGACGAAAAAGAAAAAAGAAGACAAAGACGAAAAAGAAAAAAAAGAAGACAAAGACGACAAAGAAAAAAAGAAGACAAAGACGAAAAAGAAAAAAAGAAGACAAAGACGAAAAAGAAAAAAAGAAGACAAAGACGAAAAAGAAAAAAGAAGACAAAGACGAAAAAGAAAAAAGAAGACAAAGAAAATAGAACAAAAAGAAAAAAAAAGAAACAAAGAAAAGACACAGAGAAAAAAGAGGACAAAGAGAGAAAAAAAAACAGAAAAAAAAAGCAAAACTAAACGAACAAATCTTATTTCGTTCATTCAAGCAAATAAGCTTCCGATACAAGCTAAGGTTTATCTTTACATTTATATAACAAATACAATTACCTCAAGGTAAATTATTCCTCATTAATATCAGCCAATGTCGACAGCCTGAGAGTTTCCTCATTAAAAATATAAACTCATTAGTTTAAACGTTCTATAGTGAAATCTAAATTGAGTTGATTTATTTAGTTTTTCATTCGGCGTTTTATTGTCAGATTATAAAATTTTGTTCTCATTTACTACTTGTGCTGCTGGATGATGAGTTGTCATAGGATATCTCGTAGGCTAGAGTTCCAAATGATTAGAATTGTTGCAAGAGGATTTGGCCGTGTCTCTTCAGCAAATAGGCGATCATAGATATATAGACATTGACATATAAGACAACTGATATGACGTAACAGTTCCATACCGTTTTCCTTCTTTCTAAAGAAATTTTCCTGTTTTTTATGACTTAGCTTATCATTTGGAATGCGTTTTTCACTAACCCAATGTGTCTTCGGATTTCAGTGTCACATTATTCCATTCTCGGTGAGAACACTTCCCAGATATTTAAAATTTGTATTCGTTTGATTTTGGACATTTACAGAATACGAAGAAAATATAACGTCTCATAAAAAAAAAGAAAACAAAGATATATATATATATATATATATAAGGCACGGTACATTAGTGATAGTGGCTCGGATTGAGGAATCGGAGAGACGATGTCGAATCCATTACATTCACTTACGTGCTAATACCTTTGGGAAAGATATTAATCCTCTTCTTCTCCCTCCATCTATGGGTAAATAGCAGGGCAGACTGGGTTCTATAGCACTAGATAGTAACTGATCTAGGAGAAGGAAAACTCTGAATTCAAGTCGTTTGGAGACATTCTGGTGCGTAGTGCATCAGGTCTCTGTATTCGGCCCTTCAAAAAGTGCGGTTAGTCCTGCACAAAACCTTCACCACTATAATCAAATCATATGTGCTGGTGTCTGGCTGTCGGTTCCTAGGAACTGAACTGCTTGACCCTCATACGTAAAATACGACGCTCAATACACACTTCAAAAAAATCGAAAGTTCAGAGCTATTTAATATTTAAAATAATAAAAACATTATCCTTTCTGCTACCTGAGGTTTCTTCAGTGCCTGAAAATAACCATTTATTGGTGGAAACCGGTAGCAGAAAAATATATATATATATATATATATATATATATATATATATATATATATATATATATCTCCAAGTATGTGATTGTGTATATGGAATAAAATACAATAACCAACAATTACTATTCTTAAAAGATGTGCTCAATACAGAGTAGAGCAGATATGATTATTTAAAAATTATAACATAAATATGTTATAAAATTTTTTAGTGATTTTAAAACATATTTGTTATAATTTTTAAATAAATAATTAATATATATATATATATATATATATATATATATATATATATATATATATATATATATATATATATATATATATATATATATATATAAGGACGTTTTCAAAATACATCTTGAAATTTTATTTTGAAACAAATTCTTCTTCCACACAGTTTCGTGAGAGAGTGAGGGTGGATTTTAAACATTTTATCAAGTGACTTGTCTGCAGCATATGAAATAGAGACGAAAAGGGGAAATAATGTCTCCTAAAACTTGTAACCTGAGTCGGGAGAAACGCGTCTGTGAATAATGTAACGACCTGGGTGACTGATTCAATACACACACATATACATTATATATATTAGAAGGTCTTGTAGAACCTAATTATAATATATTCACTATTTCGTTGTACAAATAAATAAATAAATAAAATACAAGTACAACCTCTTGCCATCTTAATTTTACGTGGAAATGTTCACTTATAAGCGAAAAATTTCCCGAACAACGAAAATACATCATCTCGTCCGTTTTCTCTAAAGAACTCCATGTGAAACAGACGCTAGTCAATAACGATTTTCCGAATTACTTCAAAGGTAACTAAATTAGATTTCTAAGGTAAGCAATGGCAACATTGAACATACAAATAATACCTAATAACATTAATATTTTCTATAAAAATCAAATACACATTAACTATAAGCGGGATGAATTTTCCCTTAGGACCAGTATAAAGAAAAACATAAACCGAGTCAACCAGAAGAAGAAAATTATCTTAAAAATTTAAAACTGCTAACGTTATGAACAACACAACTGAAAGATCTAAATTGCAGAGAACCAATATTAATTACGAATTCATGTGCCCCTTAAGGAATTGTTTTTTCTGATCAAACCAAACTCATGAATAAATACATTGGGCATACCACTACAAGCCTATCGAGAAGACTCACGTTAAACCTAGCAGATCATTTGCTCAATTAGAATTCATTTAAACAGACACGGAAACCTATCAAACTCCATTCTTAATATACTTATAGCAAATATAATTATGATAGCATCATCCACATTTAAAAAAGACTAAAAATTTTGGAAGCACTAATAATGAAAAAAAAAGATAAAGCCAACACACAATAACATCAACTAGGAACACGGCCAGTGTGCTGACCCTGATTTGAAAATAATTTAAAAAAAAAAAAAAAAAAAAAAAAAACATTCCCATCAATCCAGATACATAAAGAAAAATCTACACAAAAAATAATGATAAAAAAATCCTTGATAATGGCTAACAGAATAGCCGAAAGCATTCGGATATATAGAACATTCGGGCAGTTTTTGCACACTACATATGTCTAGAAAACAAGACTCTTATACGAACACAAGAAAAATTGAATAAGAAAATTAATTAACAGACGAAGGAATAGTTGGTATAAGAAATATGAGAAGGGAAAGAGGGAAGGAAAAGAGAAGAACAGAATAATAAGAGATAGAGTAGAGAGAGAGAGAGAGAGTAGAGAGGGTAAAGGAAGATCATTACGAAAATTGGGGCTAAATGATGTCACCATGGACATTAAAAACCGTGGGAGTGACACAACCGGCTGTCGAGAGTAACAAATCTGTGACACGCCTGGAAAGAGAGAAAGAGTTATGAATAGAGAGAGATGGGGAGAGTTAGAGAACGGAGGGAGAGTTCAAGGAGCTGGGACAAGAACCTTAATTTATTTTTCTTTTTTCTGTGAATTGAGCAGAAAACAGAAATAGTTCCAGACAAGAAAGGATGTGGTCGGGGTCTGAATTAAAAACCAAACATAGATCGTGCAGCTGCGGAGTTGGGGGGTGGAAGATAGTAAAATTTAGAGTCGGGCCCCAGGAAATCAGTTGATCGCTGCCTTTGTAAAATATTTCAAAGAAGCATAAGAGTATAAAATAAAGTCTGGATGAGAGGGATGGGGAAAAGAAAGTGGAAGAATCTGGGCCAAAAGACGAAAATCATGAAAATTGGATACAAAGAAAGATATCAGGTTTTAGAGGCAGGCCAAGAGTTCTCAAAGCTCAGAGGAGGGTTGGCGTAACAAAATTTTACTTACCCGAAATGTCTGAAGTTGATTTTTTTTTGCACCTTACTAAGCAGAGAGAGAGAGGGAAAGAGAAAGAGAGAAAGAGAGAGAGAGAGAGGGAGAGATGAGATGAGAGAGGAGAACACAGAAGAGAATGCATATTTTAAGTTTAAGCAATTTCAACATTACCATTATTCTTTTATTCAAAGTTTTTCTCCAAATTTTCAAAAAATAACCAAAGACTAAAAAAAAAAAACAAAATCACATAACGAATCGGTTGGACATAATCGCAAAATAACTGCGGTTTCAATCCTTATATAAGCTTACCAGGCTTACGTGATCTATATTCTGAAGACCACGTCCATGAAAGATGAAATACAGACATTTTAAATGTAATTACAACAACAGAAATAAGGAAAATGTTTTAAATTCATACCAACCTTAAGAAAAATAATTATAGTATTCCCCTACTTGATTTATACATGTAGCACAATTGAATGACTGGTTTGTCTTTTACGGTTTATCAACCCCTTAAGTTTATCTACAGCCAAAATATATCTGGAATTGTAAGAATAATTCATTTTTTACATTAACAATTTTTTGTGAATTATTTTTTCCGATAGTCTATTTAACCCATAACAGGGGCAAGAGATGGATTCATACTTTTTTCAAGAGTATTTGCGCGTAAGTGAATGTAACGATTCCGACTGTAATTCGAACTCGGTTCTCTGATTTCTCATTTTGAACCGCTACCCATTACAAATCTCGCGCAAAATATATTGAAAGCAAACAATTGTGAAATCTTATGTCTTTCTATCTTGTATACTCATCCTGATTGTTATATATCCCAACGTTTCGGCCGTTATATTTTCTGGCCTTCTTCAGGAGTTTGTCGAACTCTCTAAAATTCTCGGAATTTTGATGTGCAACTTTTAATTCTAAAATAAAATGTTAAATAATTAAAATCGTACTGCCAATATAAAAAAATGAAAAAAAAAAAAGGTTGCTGAAGACATTAGGATTATAATACCCAGAAATTCATACACAGATTTCCTCAAGGATACATGGCACAGTGGATAAAGGCGTTAGTTACATCCAGTGACAGGACCCAAAGACTGTGAGTTCAATACCCGGTTAAGGCAGTGGTGAACTTTCAGAGGGAAATTAACAGGAGGTACTGATAACTGACATCCATTAAACATGGAACTAGAACAGTCTACCCCAGTAAGCGAAATAAAGGGATCAGTTCGACATTCCAACAACGGCCGAAACGTTGCGATAAATATGGCGACAAAGATGAGGACAATAGTCTTAATAATGTATCAAAATTGACATTAAAAAAAAAAAAAGGATGTAGTACAGACTTTTGCTTCAAACTTTTATGAGCAGTAGCAGTGTTGCTATATATGGACAAAAATTATCCAGCCTTCCCTTTCCAGTTTCGATACAGTCCAAAAATATCACCGCGTCCTTGTGGGTGATGAAATATTTTCCACTCTACAACACCATTCCAAAAGTCGAAACGTTGACAGCCTCTCGCTAGTCTATAGCTATATCCATTGAAAGTGCTCAGACGAACTACATTCATTAGTCCCATCAGTTATAACCTTCAGGGGCTAAGACCCGCCATGACACGCACATTTTAGCGAACCACCCTCATTCTCTCCGTATTCCATTGGTGATATGAAAGTTCTACTGCAGCAGCTTCTTCCCACGAATCTCTGCTTTGTGGAACCGACTCCCAAAAGGATGCTTCCCCGATCACTACAATCTTAACCTGTTCAAGTATAGGTTTCGTTATCTTCCCCATATATCCTCATAAACCAAACGTCTTACTCTGTAAACTTTGGGGCCTTGAACAGAGTGAACATTACTGGAAAACATGTCTAAAGAGATTACACGCGTCCCTTATACTTGGGAGTTCAAATATTACCAGGAGTTCATTCTTTTATGATCTAGGTTACTTTAACGATCGTAGATTGCCGATCTAGTACAGCAATAGAAAGATGGAAAAAAAAAAAAGAAAAAAAAAGCGCTACAAAGGATAGGAAATCGCGGAGATCTTCAACTAAAAAGAAGAATCTTGTGTAAACAGATGGCAGTACGGGGTTTAAAAGAGATAGCAAAAAGACAATTTATTAAGAGGTATGTATATATGTATATATATAGTTGGCAACTGGTATTCGAGGATACCCGTCTACTAAAGTGGCTAGCCAATCCCTGTTGTAGACGCTTGTTCAGGCGCATTTGTGTTTGTTCAACACCCATAAAGCCCACCTGTGGTTTATACTGCAACTATTCTGCGCAGACCTTAGTTACAGTTTCTGGGAGAGAGAGAGAGTGTTATCTAGCGTGATCAACAATTTGTACAAGGCCAGCATACTCAAGCACTCGGCCACGATAACTTGTAACTTCGTGCTAGCACAGCTATCGACGGCACCCAAGGTTTCTGTCTACCGAATTTTATTCACAAGGCTTCGGGTAACCCGTGGTATGGTTTTCACTTTCCAAAGGTGCCGTACGCTGGGATCGACCCCTCCTGTCCGATAACATCAGGAAGTCACCTTCTTGACAAATCGAACATGGTGAGATTCGAACCCAGGTAAGAGATATAAAGGAGAGGAAATTATGGAGGGCCATGATCACTCACGTCCTGATGAGACATGGCACAAAGAAAAACGTGATTATATAAATAGATGTCAGAACAGGGTTTAGGAGATATAAAGAAAAATTACTAAAAGCTACAAAGGTCAGAAACTAGTGGAGAGCTATCATCTCCATTTTCTTTTTTTATGGGTAACAGTCCTTTCTTCTTGCTTTCATTTACTACTTTGATATGTCTTCTTTCAGTTTGCATTCTAAATCTGCCAGACATTAGTGAAATATAACCTCGTCCGCATTTCCTTTTGTTTAGACTTGCACTAGATTAAAATACACCATGTAAATGACGATATGTAGAAACTTTAAATGGGAGAAGGAAAAAAAAAATCTAGGCCAGTTGTAACCGGAAGGAATGTATGTCATCGACAAGAGCAAAGATCCAAGTTGCCTCAGTGTCAAAAATCGTACGTTCCCATCTGACACGACCGATGACGTTTTTTTGAATTATCTCTCTATTAAGTGTAATTTAAGTCCTTATTAGCTTCTCTTTTCGACCATTAGAGAAAATTATTCTTCGCCGTCGTTTCATCCTCACTGAGATAGACTAGGAAATGCGAATAATCAAGTGTAAATGCAGTGGCTGTCATGGAAACGAAGCAAACAGAGACAAGTCATTTCCATTCGGTATTTCGCAAATCGAACACTGAAAATAACTGGTGCACTGAAAAAACAGCCGAACATACCAATAACAAATTGGAGATACCAAAATCAAGCAAGTACAACAATTTGACTATCTGGGAACTGTTTTAACAGAGGCCGGAAAGGGCGACACCGAAATCAGAAAAGCGCACTGGGATAGCGTAAGATGCTTTCCAAAAGCTAAGTAAAGTATTAAAAACAGGAAAATTTCGTTAAAAAAAAAAAAAAAAGAAAAGAAAAAAGTACTCAACTGTTACGTAATATCAGTCCTCCGATGTAACAGTGAATGCGGGACAATCTCACAAGTGAAAAGGAAAATTGAGGCAGCCGAAATGTGCTCCAAGAGGAGGATGCTGAGAATATCATGTACTGAACATGTGAGAAATGAGGAAGTTTTAGCAAGAATGACACATATTTAACATCAGAAAGAGACAGGGGAGTAATGGGGAAATAGGGCTTTGAAAATTTGACACTTACACGACATATTGAAGGCAAGAGGAAAACAGGGGATAAGCTTGCCAATGAGCTTGTGTAAAGACAGAGAGTTTAGAAAAGAAGACAAAAGGTCAAAATTTATTTTATTAAGAGCTGGAAAGGAAATTGTGGAGAGTAATGATCGTCATGAAAAGATACGGTACTTCAAAAGAAGGTGCGTGAAACGCATTTCAATGTCGAGCAAGAATTAGACAGATATTATCATAATCCATTACGATATATATATATATATAAGTGAACATAGAAGTCAACGCCTGACGATTGCATCTAGCATGAAACAGACTGTCGCCTCTAAGTGTTGACTTCTATGTTCACTTTTATATTTACACGCTCTATCTCTGATATTGAGCACTTTATTCCATAAATATAGCATACCTTAAGACATTATATATATATATATATATATATATATATATATATATACACACACACACACTCGTTACCATCCCTCCTCACACACACACACTTTGGTGGAATATAACACATGATCTTTTTAATATGTAGTGTCCATGGGTATACACATGGCCCCTTTTCCAGCAACTTTTTTTTTTACCAACCCTCACTTTTTAGTGCAGTGTGGGAGGTGCTGCTTCGGAGTTGGAATCCCCAGAATCAAGCATCCGAGACTGGACACCTTTCAATATTTTAATGGTTGCACTCTATCCGAAGACAGGCATAACTGAGAGACACAAAGTGGTTTATCCGACCGAGGGCAGATACTAGACCTTGATCTCATTTAAAATGCCGAGAACAAAAGCCCTACCGTAGGATATTAATACTGCAATACATCCATACACTCCTACGATGACGTGTCACTTGTCGAATCTTAATGCAATTAAAAACATATTTACCAACAAAGCACAAACAACTAAAATATAACTATTAATATAAGACAAATATTAGTGGATAATACCAAAATACTATGAAAAACTCACTGTAAAGAGAGTCTCATAATTCCAGAAGTTATAATACAAAAAGAACCCACATCAAATAAAATATTCTCCACAGGAGATGGTATCTTAAAGTGTGTATAAAATATTTAATGAGTGCAGAAAATTGCATTACGTATAATTATTTATAAAAAAAAAAAAAAAAAATTATATATTGCCCAAACATGCACCGCAATCCCGTAGGTTGACTTGTCACAACGAGACATATATATATTCTGTTTATATGTTATTTTTATAGATTCAATTATTTAAATAAATGCTCTGCTATTAATTAAACTGCATTAATTAAATTAACAACCTTAACATAGCATTTACTTAAATAAATTGTATCTATAAAAACAACGTATAAACAGAAAATATATTAATAATTGTCGGACTTAATCCATTTTATATATATATATATATATTATAAATT